TGAACTTTGAAATGACCAATGACCCGTGACTAGTCATTTGGGTCATTTGGGTCATTTAAGGTCACCTGCCAACACTGCCTGTGAGAGAGTAGCATCAAAAGGCGGTTTTTTATCCGTTATATTATTAGCAAGGGGTTATAGTTTTGTACCCGATAAAAGAGATGTGTCGTGATCATCAAAAGTGAAGAATACGATCTTTTGCAGTCTGACATTTCTTAATATTCATTTCGTACTCATTCTTAAGAACAGTTTGAAATCGGCTAAGTCTGTAATCTTAGGTATATCAGCTTCTAGCATATTGAAATCCGGGTCACCTCCATATTTTTATGAAGCTTGAGGAACTTAGACAAGATCTTTTGCGGTGTCAACGCTACAATTGGCGCAGCAACTGCGGTGCAAATCAAAAATGTCAAATATATCTGCTATAGCACACATATCAAATATGTTTTACATATCTTATTTATTTTTTTTATCTGTTTTATTTATTATATATGTTTTATTTATTATTTCTATTATATTAGTTTTATTTGTTAAATTTATGATGTTTGCTAGTAAATTGAAACAACGATTTTAGATCGGGAATTCGATCTAGAGAAAAACAGAGAAAATAACAAGTAGTAAAAGTTTCTCTCAAAGATTTAATTAGACTATTCTAGTTTGTGATGATAAGTCTAAAGAAAAGGCTTGTAGAATTCCTAATTAATAAATTTTCTTCGTATCTTCATAAAGGTTTGATGCGATAACTAATTACACTAGCGAATCGTAATTTTTAAATACTATATAAATTATACATCAGACATACTAAATAATAAGTGAATAAATGTTTATTGACCTGAGATGGCAAGGAAAATCGGGTCAACAACGGATAATACCAATTTAGTTAGAATGTTTCAAATAAAAAAAGACTAGTATAAATCTTTTGTGATACCCGCTGACTAACAAATTTATGTGATGTACTTATTTAATGATTCTGTCATATGGCGTATTATTTATCACCTTGAGGTACTGGAACCAAAAAATACTAGCTAAAATATGATTGAAAATATTAGATAAGATTGAAAGTCGGGTATCCTGCATTATCTCGAAGATCGTACAAGTTCAATAAAAAAGTAGCCAAAATGCCAAGAAAAAATTATGTAACAAAAGAAAATTTAAAAATTTTTAAATCTACACTAGATCAAAAAACGCCAGTTCTGCAGGGCGTTTAAGTATTTCTATTTTTGGATTAATGGAACAGATTTCAATGAATATGTCACATCCTAAATTCGTAAAGAGGTGATTTATATTTATTAGGTTTATTGGGTTTAGCAAAAATATATATGTAAAACAATCAAAGATAGAATTAAAAAAGTTTTTATTGAAGTAAAAATAAAGAAAAAAATTTATTAAATAAAATGTAAAATAATAAAATAAATGCAACTATTACTGCCTCTGCCGGCGCTCTGTAATAGGCCCAAAGAGAAAAGAAAACTATCTAATTCTATCCAAAAAGCAAGACGAAAAACCCTTTCTTTTATAATAATTCTCTTCCCATGGCTTAGTTATAGAATTCTTGGCAGTAATTAATAATTATTGCAGCTTGACTGATGATAATGCTGATTGATCGTTTCGTTATGTCAAAAATGGTCATTTTGATATATATATTCCATTGTATCGAGGTATCCTGAATCACCGAAAAGTCCGAAAACTTATTTCCATTTGATATACCAGAATTATTAGCAAATTGATTGTCAGGACTTTGGAAATCCAATTTTAGATGCAGTCAATTTTCGAGAATTACAAATACAAACCTAGTTAGAAATTATTATAAAACAGAAATTAATAGTTTCCAAATAAACAAATATGTTATGATGTCATAAAAAATTTTTACAATGGCGAATTTAGTTAATTCGATGACGTATTTCAATAGATTAGCCAATTTTAGAAAAATATCAGTAGGTTAAATTTAAACAATTTGACCAAAATGAAATATACTTATCATTTTGGTATAATCAGTTAAATTATCTATGTTGTGTAAATCCTTGTTTCATTTATGCAATCTTGGGATTTTCTCATACACAAAAAAGTTAAAATTGTTTTGAGGAAAAATTTCCAACTAATAGATGAACATAGTAAAAAAAGCTATTTAAATAACTGTAGATTTGATTATTTTTATCTATTTATCTAACATTTATACCTTTATCTTTTACCTTTACACTATTTTTATATTAAAGAATAATTATTCAACAAATTCTCACAAAAGTTTAAATGTTAATTGAACTTACAAACATTTCTCAAATTCACATTTACAATGTTACAAGAAATATAATGAACTCCAACCTAATAATTAAATATGCAATTTTTTAAAAATTCACTGATGTCGAGCTGCAATCCTCAACCAGAAAAATATTTAATTTACAAGAATTGACCTTTAGCCAACAGTTTAAAGCTAAGACAAAGAAAAGGTCTTTCTAACGATGGAGGGAAATGCTGCAGCTATCCATGTGACTTATCACAAAGTAATCAACTGTTATTTCATTTATCTTATTATTTTATTTATTTTTATCATGTATATAGAACATATTTATCACTTTATATTATTAGTAGTTTATTTTATATAAATATTATATACTTTTCCTTGAAATAGGGTTTGATATAAAACTAAGAACTCAATAAAAGATGTTTTAATATTTATTTGCAATTACCTTTTACTAAGGCATGATTGTGATAAAATTATTTTATTTAATGATAAATTCATAATCCACAAATTCAAAAATTTTATACAGTATTATTATATTGACATCAAAATTATAATTAAATAAATGAATGAAATGATTACATTCCTTGAGCCATTTTATTAATGTAATTAACAACATTATGCTAAATTGCTAAACTATTGAAATTTTTTATAATGTAAAATTAACGAATCAAATTAATACAATATTGATCATCATTGATCATATGAAAAATGATTATTTATTTTTAATGGATTGGATTTGCCTATCTATACTAAATTAAGTATATTGAACTAAATTATGACAGAAAATAAGCTGAAATTTCTACCAATTAAAATGGATAATAAGAGTTCAAAATTAATAAACTACTTATTTATGTTAGAGGGTATTTATAATAAATATCATAGGCTCATCAAAGTTGTATGTGAGACAAAATCAAATATAATCATATATGGAGTAGATCTACTAACTTTAAAAAGAAAATTATTATTCATACCTCTAATTTTGTTCTTTAGGCGAAAAATCAATCACATGAATATATAATTCTGGCTAGATTTCAGCTGATGATGAGTATAACTAACACAAAATTGGAGTAAGAATAACAGCCATTTTTTAAAAAAGTTAAAATATTAAGTAAGTATGCGTTATAAACATGAATTATATATCAATAAATAAGTTGATTTCTCAATGTAAATTGAAGTCTGTTGCAAAATATTGCTATATTGTTCAAATGTGAATGCTTATTAGTATAATGTAGTAAAGGTATATATGGGAATATAAAAGTTCTTTCCTTGTTTTGAATTTCTTCTTCCTTTATCTAACCTTTAAAATGTGACGAATTTCTTCGAATATTAGAAAAGCGCTAAGGATTCTATTTTGGGCTCTGTTATGAGTGAAAATATCGCTCAACCACTTTTGAGAGAAATATGAAAAACTAAACGACTTTTAGCAACATTTTTATGAGTAGTACGTACAGATAATAACCGTTGGATAATTTATCTCGATTCACAACCAGAAAATAAAATTATGGTCTTGGGCCGTAGAAAGTTGGTGGCTTTTCCTACAACTAGTTTAGATATCAATCAAGATACAAGTGATGATGAGCGAATAAGTGGTAGTGAAACGAATATTTCAAGTAATAGTAATAATAGTTTTGAGGATAGAAAAGTCATAGATATTTGTAACATTAATAACGTATGATATGCTAATAAAATTGTTACTATTAATTCTCGTCAAATATCCCTCCTATAAGAAATCGAAATAAGGAAATGATACGTTTTTTATAAGGTTTGTATACGTAATTAATGATTCTATATCAAA